GAATGCAGGGGTGCTCTACCACTGAGCTACATCTCAGCCTCTTTTTAAATTTTGAGTCAGGATTTGGCTCAGACTTGCCTTGAACATGTGATCCTCCTGCCTCAGGCTTCTTTATCGCTGAGTATGTGCCACCTTGCCTGGTTCAGAGTTTTTTGTTTTGTTTTGTTTTAAAAATGAAGAATTTTAATAGAATTTAATAATGAAGAAGTTTGTTTTTAATAATGAAGAATAATGTTTTAATAATGAAGAGCTTTTTTAGAATACTTTTATTTATTCCTTTATTTTATTGTGGTGCTGAGGATAGAACCCAGAGCCTCACACATGCTAGGCAAGTGCTCTACCACTGAGCTACTACCCCAGTCCTCAGAGGGTTTAGATATTCATTGCCATAATAGCTAGTGAAGCTGAGCTCCTTTTCTTGTGCTTCTCAGGTATTTATGTATCTTTGGAGAAATGTTTAAGTCCATTATCCATTGCTGAGTTGGTTTGTTAGTTAACAAATCAAATTTATCAGGATAATAAACACACATCATTTCCAGGTTTGATCAATCCTGGGAATTCAAGGATGGCTAAAAAATATCTATGAATGTCATCAGTTATATGATGTCAAAAGGTAAAGAGAACATTTGACAAAATGTATGTTTTAGAAAAATATACCCTTGGCAAAGTAGCAATAGGGAACTATTCTTACTTGTATAATGCCCTTATAGAACATCAGTACTAACATTGATACCACAGGTTACCAGTGACAAGTTTTGCTTCCTTACATGGTGAAGTTTGAACATTAGAGAAACACGCAGAGGCAAGCATATAGAGCATATTTAAAAATGGGTCACATAGACTTCTCCCAGAAGGGAGAAGGGGCCATAGCTGGTATCCTGGTATCCCAAGAAGTGAGGGTGTTCTGCCTTTTTATATGTTCTAGGCTTCCTTTGTTCTCCTGTTCTCTTCTCCCTTATCTCTCTCCTTCCTGTATTAGTGACTAGGCCCAGAAGATGCTTGGTGGGATGGCCAAAAGGTGAAAAGCAGATGGGCTGGAGGGGTCAAAGTGAAGTGATCTGGGCAGGAAGGGGGCTTAATTAAAACTCCCTATAGGGAGGGACAATCCCTGGGACAGGTTACCTTAGCAACATGTTGGAGCAGGGGCAGGTTATCTTGATGAGGGTGGAGGAAGTGTTCTGAAGGAACTAACATTTCAATCCTTCCATTCTCTGAATTGACCCATCAGCCTAATTCTGCCTTCAATATCATGCCTGACCACAAACTCTCAGAAACAGCCATTAAATCATTAAATTCACTATCCTGCATTGCTGCAGATGTGCATTTCTAAATGAGTGTCCTGGAGACACTTTGATTTATTTTGTGGTCCTCAGGTGGAACTCTGGGCCTCATTCATGCCAGGAAAGGGCTGCACTACCCACCTGCTTCCCAGCCCAACTTCTTGTTTTTACTGAAGCAGACATACGCTAGACTGTTAGTACAGCACTCTTTAGAATCGTGAAAACCCAAATACACACTAAATAGCCATTACTGGAAACAGGTGTCTGAAATATTCATGGGAGCTGCCATACAGTGGTTAATGCCAGTGATCTGCAGCTGAGCTCCCAACCAGGAACTCACAGAATTGGGCCTGCAGTGGGGCCTCCCAGGCCACAGGGTTTAAAGGGCAAAATGGCACAGGACAATGACAGGATGTTTACACAGGCACACAAGACCTCAGAGAAACTTAGGAATGTGGTTAGCGGGGAGCGGAGGGGGGATGCTTAATCAGAAAGGGCTGCCTGTGCTGCCACAACTGGATCTATGTGTTGTTCCTTTAAAATATGATATAACCAGGGGTGGCAGTACATACCTGTAGCCCAGCTCCTCAGGAGGCTGAGGCAGGAAGACCGCTTGAGTCCAGGAGTTTGAGAGCAGCTTGGACAACACAGCAAGACCCCATCTCTAAATAAGTAAATAAATAAAACAAGATCTAAAGCCAATATTACAAAAGTGCTGAGGTCTCTCAGAGCTTAATGGTGTGTCGCAATGGTCATCACATTATTATCATTTAAAGATTGAAATTCATCAAGAGAAGGGAAGGGGCAGACCTGAAAAGAAAAGGAAGGAAGAGAGAAAATTTAGACACTGGGAATTTGGTTCTTCTCTTTTAAAAGCAGCAGAGGCACAAAGAGATAAAAGGATGGGAAACTGCTAAGAATCCCTGAGGCCTTGGGCTGCCCCAAGGCACAGCTGACCCCTGCCCCTCCTCAATGGGTGCCTCCCCTCACCAGGCCTTTCTCCTCCAGTGTCTTCAGGAGAACTCTGACCTCAAGACCCACAGGCCCTTTGTGGCTGTGATGGCCACTCTCTGTGAGTGCAAGGAGCAAGCCAGCAAGAGCCTGGCCAGGTGAGAGGGGGTCTGGGCTCCAGGCGGGAGGGATCGCTGCCCCTGGGGTGCTGGCATCTGCCTTGGAGCCCATCGCCTGCTTGGATTTCAGGTTTGGAGTGCAGCCATGCCTCATCTGCCTGGGAGATGCTCAGGATCCTGTGTGTCTGCCCTGTGGCCATGTGTACTGCCTGCCTTGCATCAAGATCTGGCTCGTCTCCAGGCACATGACCTGCCCCTACTGTTTAACTGTCCTGCCAGAGGAGTTCTCTTTGACAGTTTCCCAAAAGCACAGGTAAAACACTTTTCTCTTTGAAAGTCTTCCTCTTTTTTCTGTCCTTTTTTCTCAAATATAATATTCAGAAATTCAATTTCCATTAACCTCCATCTGATAAAAGCCTGGCTTCAGAGAACGCTGAAGTGAGACTCCCATTTGGGTACCTCAGAATTCCTCTCCCCAAGACACACATGTCCCGCAACATTTTGAGACAGCAAAATTCAGAAACTGATAAATGAAGCCCTTGAAAGAGACCCAAGAAACTTAGATACAGCTTTTCTGTCCTCCTTTTCATCTGAGTGGTGTGTACAGGGGTGGACTCCAAGCCGTGTGCAGGCTAGGCAAGCAAGCCCTCTACCATCGAGCCCCACACCTGCTCTTGCCCAGCCTTTGGGAGGTGCGGGAAGAGAGCTGTGGTGCTGTGGGCTTCAGACCATGGTCGTGCTCCATCCCTGGTGGCTTTGCCTTCTCTTTCCTCCCAGTAAAGGGTTCTGTGACAGGCTTTGCCTGGTTCAATGATGGAGGCGTTCCTGGAAGAGATGTGTGTACAAACTCTCTGCAGTTTTGAAGACAAGCTAATCAACAGAAGTAGACACTTGCATCTGTTGATGTAAAATGAGTTGCTGTCTGAATCTCAAATCATTCTGCAGGCAGGGATTTGGGAACACTCTCTGAGTCCTCTGACTGGGTTTTCACTGTTTCCTCAGGGTGGCCATTGGGAAACACGCCCAGTTCCGGCAGATGTGCAACAGTTTCTTCATGGATCTGGTTTCTACCATGTGCTTCAAAGACGGTACCCCTCCTCAGAAGAGTGTGATCGATGAGCTGCTGTCTCTCCTCTTTGTGCGGAAGGAGCTTTTGAGAGATGCTCCCCAACGTGAGTTACTTTTTTCCTTCAAACCTTGATTCAGTTCCTCCCTGTTTTGTGCCATGATATGAGCAGTAGCACCTTTCTCTTTCTGGCTAAGGATACCGGGAACACACCAAGTCTCTCTCGCCATTTGATGATGCTGTGGATAAGACTCCTGTCGTCCGCTCTGTGGTGCTGAAGCTGCTCCTGAAGTACAGGTGGGAGCGGCTCCCTGAAGGCACACTTGTCTGAGGCCTCAGCTTCTCTGGGCTGGGCTGGGCTTGGTCTTTGTGCTGCCACATATCCCAGCTCATGATCTGGGAAAGTTTCTTCAGTGCAAGGAAACCTGGTCTCTGTTGCTTATGTTCAGACACTGAACCCTGTGGGCACGTGAGTTGGGCATTGCCAGGGTCTGGTACAAGTAAGAAGACAGAGTTCTGGGAAGGACCCTGGGTGTGGTGAAGCATGCAGAACCCATGCATTAGGAATAGTGGTTCTAACCCTAGCTCCATGGCCACCCCAGGGTGTGATTTGCAGGGTGGTAACTCAGACTGTACCTTAGCCTCGGTGTCCTCCAGGTCAAGATTCCACAGCACGCGGACTCTGTGTTTTCTCAGTGAGACAGGCGGCAGTGATGTTCAAGCATGGTGTCCTCTGGCTGATCCTGTGTGTTCATTGAGCTTCAATTCTCAGCGTGCTGGCAGAGACCCTTTGTGGGGAGGGGGTCCCAGACCTCAGAGTTTTAAAAAATAATCCCGAGACAGTAATTTGCCTATTCAACATGTCCATATTTGCAGTAACTTTGCCAAAGCTTCTTTGCATGAAGGAAATTGCAACCATAGTCATGGTCATCTTCTCCACTG